CTTCCCTGGTGGCGCAGTGGTTAAGAATCCGCCTGCCAATGCAGGGGACACGGGTTCGAGCCCTGGTCCGGGAAGATCCCACATGCCGCGGAGCCCGTGCACCACAACTACTGAGCCTGTGCTCTAGAGCCCGCGAGCCACAACTACTGAGCCCTCGTGCCACAACTACTGAAGCCCACGCGTGCCTAGAGCCTGTGCTCTGCAACAAGGGAAGCCAACACAATGAGAAGTACACGCACCACAATGAAGAGTAGCCCCCTCTTGCTGCAACTAGAGAAAGCCTGCACACAATGAAGACCCAATGCTGCCAAAAATAAATTTATTAAAAAAATATATTGGCCAGCTATTTCACCAACAAAACTGAGTTTATTAGGGACTAGCAGAGAAATCACAATCAGCGATATGCAAAGATGGGTGACCATAAGCAAATACAGAGAACAAGCAAGGGGAACATGCTTTTATAGGGAAAAGAGGAGAGTTGGGAGGGGCTGTAATAACCAAGGAGTCCATTGGAGGAAACTGGGAGTCCAAAGTATGGAGGCTTCGCATTGGTTGGCCTGCTACAGTCTGACTGGCTGAGCTGCCCTGGATGGAGAGAAGTTTTCTTCTTCCTTCTGATAGCAACCTAGAGGTACCTTCCTATCACAGATGTAGGTTTACTTCTCTCCTGTTAATTGAGGTCTCCTGGTGGGATCTGAGAGCTCCCCCTACAGGCCTGTCCCAACTCCAACTCTACCTGAGGTTTCTTCAGTTACACATACTAAATGTGTTCATAATTCAGACTTTTTTTTTTTTTTTTTTTTTTTTTCCCATTTCCACTTCTGCTTCATATAAAAGAGTGGGAGTTTTCCTTGTGAATAATTTTTTTCAATATTATTATAGTTTTTTTTTTTTTTTTTTTTTTTTTTACCATGTCCACTGCTACCACCTTGATCCAAGCCATCACCACTCTTTGCCTGGATTACAGGTAGTCTCCATACTGGTCTCCCCACTACCCCTGACCTAGGCCCCAGTGGACCGTGCTGTTACTATGCTCAAAACTATTGTCTTCCCATCTTTCTCAGAATAAGATCCAAAGTCCTTGCCCTGCCCTACAAAGCCTTACTTGATCCACTCCCACCCCATACCTGACCTCACCTCTTACAACTTTCCCTCACTCACCCCTCTGCAGCTACACTGGTCTCCTTCCTATTCCTTTAAAAACCAAGAACACTGCTTGAGGGCCTTTGCACTTGCCCTTCTCTCTTCCTGGGACACACTGCCTTGTATAGCAGCAAGCTAGTTCCCACACTTCATTAAGGACTTCCACTAGTCAGGTTAGGCTAGCCCTGTTGGCTTGACACAATGAGAGTTGATTTCTTTCTCATGTACCTGTCCCATGCAAGTCAACAAGGGGCACTTTTCCACACAATCACTGAAGCACCCAGGCTGAGAGGCATCCACCGTCTTGTCACTGCACCAGCTGCAACCCATGGTATCCTTGATCACTGGGGAGGGAGGAGGGAGAGACAGACAGACAGACAGAGGGTATTGAATGGTCCCACACAAGAAATAGACGCTTTGGGGCTTCCCTGGTAGCGCAGTGGTTGAGAACCTGCCTGCCAATGTGGGGGACACGGGTTCGAGCCCTGGTCTGGGAAGATCCCACATGCCACGGAGCAACTGGACCCGTGAGCAACAATTACTGAGCCTGCGCATCTGGAGCCTGTGCTCCGCAACAAGAGACACCGCAACAGTGAGAGGCCCGCGCACCGCGATGAAGAGCGG